TAATACATTTAGCTTACCAATTATTGTAAAAACTTCTCTGTTTTCTTACATTTCGAATAAGGTATTAAGCATGGCAAAATGTCATTCTAATTACCCAATAATAAGATAACAAGTGGCGCGAATACAATTTTGACAACCTACTCAAAGTTAATAAAAGTCAAAATCGATTACACCTACTATTTATTGTTGCTTATTGGAACTAAAACATAACGTTAATTCAGACAACCATAAAAAATTAAGCAACTAACATTAAAAAAAAATTAACACAATCATGTGACATAACTTCTAACTCTAACTTAAAAAAACTCAGCGCGAAACACAATTTGGCCCCTACCTGTTGCAATAAGGAACCAACTGGAAAAAACCTTACCGTCAAGTTATTTCCGACCTTGTTATTTTATTTATAATTGTAGTTCTTAAAACATTTGCTTCATTTTGGATTCTCTCTATTAATTCATCCCTAGTATTGATTTGTGTTGCATGCACTCTTTCCTTCATGTGGCCCCACACATAAAAATCTAGGGGCGTCAAATCAGGACTCCTTGCAGGCCATGGAATTGGACCTCCTCTCCCAATCCAGCGGTTAGGAAATAATTCATTTAATGAATTTCGCACATTTTGCGAATAGTACGCAGGGCATCCATCATGTTGGAAAACCATGTTATTCCTGTTTTCTAAACGTACACGGTCCAGCATTTCTATTAAGTTATTATGTAAAAAATCACCATACGTTGCGCCATTTAAATGATCGGGAAAAAAATGAGGACCAATCAAATTATTTCCAATGAGCCCCATCCACACATTCACATTAAATTTTCTTTGGTTGCTCGTTTCCTTCGTTAGATAAGGATTTTCGTCAGTCCAATAATGTAAATTATGAAGATTTGTTATACCTTCTCTGTTAAACTTCGATTCGTCGGTCCATAAAATCCTTCTCAAGAAATATTCATCCTGAATGTCAGCATTTAAAAGAAACCGGCAAAATTGAATCCTTCGTTCAGGATCACCATCTACAAGTGCCTGGATAGGTGTGTAATGATAAGGATGGTTGCCTATTTGTCGAAGAGTTGACCTGACTTAACATTGTGATATCCCCAAATTAGCAGCGACGTTTCTTGTACTGGATGTGGGTGCTTCATCGAACGTTTCCAAAATGTCTTCTTCTACATTAAGTCCAGCACGTCGTTCGACTTTTCTTAAATTGCTAGTCTCAGCTAGACGCCGATAAGTGGCGCCAAATACACTAATATGAGGAATTCGTCGATTTGGATAGCGTTGCTGATATTCTCGATGTCTAAATTCCATGGCTTACTGCCAAAACGTAAAAAAATTGTTTAACCGATGGTTGTTTACCATTAATGAATTGAATTTCAACCGCAGGTGTAATCGATTTTGAATTTTATTCACATTGGGAAGGTTGTCAAAATTGTGCTCGCACCAATTGTTATCTTATTATTAGCTAATTGGAAAGACATTTTGCCATGCTTCATACCTCATTCGAAAGGTAACAAAACAGAGAAGTTTTTACAATAATTTGTATGCTAAATGTATCATCGAAATTTTGAAATAGACGCTCATGAATAAACACTTTGTTTGAAAATTAACTTAAAAACCGAATATTTCACTTCAGAGAAGTCGATACATTGCCAAAGAAACTATTATTACTCTCTAAATTTCAAGATTTGTAAGAGTATGTACTGAACTTGTACAAAAAGCAAAAAATTGAAATATTTTCTAAATTATTCACTTTTTTATAAGGCATATTTAGCTCAATCAATTACAAGTGAGCTCTAGAACAACGTATTTCAATATTCACGTTTATGTACCAGTCACCCTGTATAAAATGTACTGATTACATTGGAAGCTTATAATTTAGTAGAACCTCATCCCATTTATCCATAGTTCCTTTATAACCTCAAAAAGTCGTTAACCTTACTTTTGACAAACGTCAAATGACAGGTGATTTTTAAAAATTTATATAAAATAAACTGATAACTTTGGAAGCTTATAATTTGGAACAAACCAACCTCAAACCTTGCTTTATAATCTCAAAAAGTTTCATTTCTTAATTGCTAATCATTATGGAGAAAATAATTTTTTTCATTAACCTCACTTTTGATAAACGTCAAATGAATTAGGTGATTTTTAAAAATGTATATAAAATCAACTGTTCACTCTGGAAACTTGTAATTTGGTACAAATGAATCTCAAACCTTCCTTTATAACCTCACCAAGTTTTATTTCTTAATTCCTAACCGTTATGGTGAAAATAATTTTTTTCATTAACCTCACTTTTGATAAACATCAACTGAATTTAGGTGATTTTTAAAAACTTGTATATAATCAATTATTAACCCTGGAAGCTTGAAATTTGGTACAAATCAACCTCAAAGCTTCCTTTTTAACCTCAAAAAGTTTCATTTCTTAATTCTTATCCGTTAAGGAGAAAATAATTTTTATTACCTGATTTTACATCAACTTAAGATTCTATCTTCCTTCTTTTAACATCATACACAGTTAAAACTACATAAATACACATAATAAACGTTAGAGGGGTCCCTTAAGGGGGCACGTTGTAATAGAACGACACCGATTCTCACCCAACACTTTTATGATAACCTCACGTTTACGTCTTAACGCGTAAAATATGGTCGTTCCTCCCTTTTCCCTCACTTTTTCCGTCAACATTTTCTTTTCTCTTTTCATTTTATTTTTTTCCTTCTCCCAAGCTTATCTCGTATCGTCAGTCGAGAGAAAAAAATGTTTACGCACGTTTTTAACACCACCTTTCGCGTCTTTGCCTAAAGGTTAAAGTAAACGGTTTCGGGGGCAGTTAAGAAACGAGCAACAAAAGGAGAAACAACCCCGTTTTAATAAAATAAAAGATAGCGGTGTTGAACGGTGTCGGGGAAGAACTTGGTACTTCTCAGTTTCGAAGGGGGGTGGGGTTGAGTTGGTTTGGGTAGGTTTGGGTAGGGGCTGTCCACTATTTTGCGGCGATAAGCCCCACGTGTTTTATGGGGGCGATGTCTACCCCGTTTTCGGGGGGACTAAAGTGCCGACGGTACAAACGCTCTTTTAAATTGCCTCCTTTTTTCATTCCTTTTTAGTTTTCCTTCATTCTTCAACTCGTTTCGTTCCGAAACGAATCTCCGATCGATTTAAACCGAAGTCGAAGCCGATATTTGTGCAGATAAGGCGCGGAACGATTTCGGATCTCGTGAGTTACGACTATGTTGGATGTTTTCCAAAGAATCGTTTAAGACTTTATTGTATTGGGGGTGTAATAAAATTGTTGTAAGCTTACTTAAAAGAAAATATTAAAAGGATTAGATTAGATCGTCCCGAAGAACAATTACTAAAACTTCTCCGATAAAAGAGGTCGTAAGTCAGGGAGTAGCAGGTGGTCATTTGGAAAGTTAGACGAATTTTCTTTGGGAATTGCAACTTTTATTGTTCTTTCAGAGACGTTAGATCTAGATTATTTTAAAAATACCCAAAAAAGGTGTGATTCCTCGCAGATGTTCTCCCCAATTTTACGATTTCTTTTACGGGGGATATAACAATAACATTTAAGTCTTCGAAAACCGCTAACATAAAAATATAAATTTTTTTATTTTACGAGGAAGCAATTTTTCATTTTATTTTTCTGGTTCTGCTAATCCCGAAGTGGTAGAAACTCCTTGTGGTTAAAAATTCGTGCGAAAGCTCGCACCGTAGATTTATAGAGCTTTTAGTCGGCATCGGCAAAAAGCTCTCGGTGGCGGCGGCGCGGGCCGCTAGGTGGCGCAAGTCGGAGAGGGCCATCAATACCGGTTTGCGCCCCTCAACAGACGTAAAGTGCGCGCTAATCCGCGTTTGCTCGAAAAAGCGCGTTATGTATGAGCGTTGGGACGCTCGTAACTCTCATTCGTTGTGACACGATGCGAATTTCCCGGAAATATGACGTTGCTTTTTGGACACTTCGTCTTATTCTATATGGTCTTTTTTCGACCAACCTTTTTTTGGAATCCAATTAATGTTAAAAAAAAGAAAATGGACGTAATAAGTTTACGTCGACAGGTTTCGGGCTTTTTTAGCTCATCCCCAGCCGGTATATTTCGAGCTTTGTGTTTTATCGACCGTGCATTCGGCAGATGCGTGCTTTACGATACCTTTCCGCCAAAATAGTTGTTCAGAACCCCCCTAAAACGTACAATGTGGTTCGATTTTCGAACTCCTACCCATTTATCGCGAATAATAGACGAACAAGGCCGCGCTGTGTCCCGTTTAGCGCTTTTAGAGAGCCCGATACCGAGTGGTAATTGTATATTGTCTATTTAATGTTGCCATTGTACCAGATCAAAACGTTTTGTCGCACAAATATACATCAAAAATGATAATCAAAGCTAATGAACTCACCCAAAGTTTATCCCCGCATCAATCTACACTTTTTTTGACACAATTTAAAAGTCACCTGTCAAATTGGAAAAATTAACAGGGAATTTAGTTATGTCATTTTAAAATCAATTTTTAATTTTAATTTTGCTTAACTTTAATATGCAAAGGTATAATACGTTTTTTGATTATTTATACGCAAATAATTTAAATAAAATTAAAATTTTAAATAGATTAATTAGAAAAACAACATTAATATCATAAGTAATACCAACATAAATCTTTGACCTTAAAAGTTAAAAAAATAAATGTTTATTATTAAAAGATTCTTTTAAATTAATTGATACTAATCTTATAAATTAGTTTTTCAACACCTAAAGATTAAGATTATAAATAATAAGATTTACCGGGAATTTTGTTATGTCATCAATTTTTTAATTTAATTTTAATTTTGGTTAATCAACAAGATATAATTCATTTTTTGATTATTTATACGTAAATAATTTAAATAAAAGTAAAATTTTAATTAAATAAATTAGAAAAACAACTTAACATCACAAGTAATACCAACGTAAACCCTAAAAGTTTTATCAAATTTGACCTTGAAAGTTAAGGAAAATAAAAATGTTTATTATTAAGATTATTTTAAATTAATAAACTTATAAATTAGTTTTTAACGCCTAAACGAAGCCCTCAAAACACGTATTACAAGCTAAGGAGTGTAAGACCTTGTGGTAAAGAAGAAAATAGTCCTATAGAAAACATAACCTAAAAATATAATTTTGTAGAATAAACCTCTGAAGGCGAAGTTAATATCTTTTCGTTGGGTGATCTTTAAACCTATATAAACAAAGAACTTAATTAAGAATTGATTGAAGAAAACGGAGTTAAGAAGAAAGAAGTATTAACCAACTTAGTTAGTGTCACCGAATATGGTGAATATCTTCATTGTTGCCAAAGAATTCGAATTAATAAGATTGTTACATGATAAAGAAGAGAATTAACTACTTATCACTAACTAAAATTGAAGGAATTCTGAATTTACAAACGATTTTAACTCCGAAGAGTATTTCTATCAAAGAATTGTATAAAAAATAATGAGAAGGATGCCACAACTGAATAAATTGGTGAAAAAGGCCTTGTTATTGCGGTGAATTTGCTTACTTAATAAGGTAAGTGCTAAAATTATACCACCAATAAGATTTATTTTCGATTTTAAACTAATGATCCTTCTTTACTTAGAAGAACTGAATTATTTCTTTCGGAATAAATTAATAAAAATAAATCCGGAAGAGAGAGCTGATCTCCAATTCATGGAAGGGCGCGATCAATTGTCGTTTAGCGCCATCTGTCGACCACCCTCTCCCGACTGAATTAAAGTCTAATCACTTTTAACTGCAATTTAGACAGCGGCGCGAAGCCCAGACGGCGCCTTACCCTCCGCCTTTTCACCCCTGCAATTCACCCCACGTCTCAACTCGAAACAAAGACGGATGTGTACTCTTCGTCAATCATTAACTAAATTACCGATCACAAGAAACTAATAAAAGTCAAAAAAATCAATTTTTCAGATAAAAATAATTCTTATTATTTTAAAAAGCACCCTCTTTCCTTTTTGGAAGTCCTTGACGTGGGTGAAAGTCTTGTCCTGTTCGACAAAGAACCATCTCTTGCATGCAAACGACCTTGGCATAGCGCAAATCCAAACTTATAGTCTACCATAAAGGCGGTAATGGCCGTAATATGATTGTAACTTGATCCTTAGCATTACGAAAGTGGGGTTGGGGGGGTGGATGTACACCGTGAACTGAATACCTATACAAAACTTATTCTGGGGACGAAGTCGTTTTTGGGGGGTTGCTTCATCCTCGAGGACAACTTATCGATCAAGGGCGGGCGAAACGCTCCTTGCGAAAAGAAAGGAAGCGCCATAACGGTGGGAGTGCATTTTTAGCTCCGGTAATGAGGCCCGGGGGCGGCTTTGAAGACGACGGGGGGCAACACAGCGTTGACGTTTACGTGTCTGTCTAACTTTCCTTGGGAATTATGCAAAGGAGGTAGAAACGAAGTCCTTAAAAACAAAGAACCAAGTAAATATTGAAGATCTTATCTAGTTCCATTTAAATATAATCGTTTAATTTTTTCCGAATCGCGTTAAAATTAGAATGGGGGTACAAGTTGGCACATAAGACGTCGGATCGGGCAATAAAACGAAATTAGTCGATAGAAATTGGCGCTATCCAGTGGACCGCCGGATAATGGTCCAACTTTGATAATGTTTCCTATAGGAGCGAGGACGGATAAAACAAACAAAGAGCTGAAGGAGTAATCTCGCTCGTAATTGGCAGAGAGATGAATGGTCGTGAAAATACAGATAGAGGTAGAAGCGGGTTGGATTGGGATTCTTTTCAAACCGTGGAAAGTACGTGATTTAATCTGCGATTTGTAAAGTTTTTTTATGAATTTTTTGTCAAGAAGATCTTTGAAGTCTGTCGTTACAGGAAATTAAATTATAAATTTGATATAAAAATCATTAGACAAGTATCAAACAATGTACAATCAGTTTTTAATAATTTTCAACATCCTGGGAGAGTTAGAAATCATTTTGGACAATTTTGCAATGTTATAAACGAATTTTGAATAATGTTGGTGCAGTTTTTAGTCGTTTTTAGCAACTTGGACTTGCTATTAACTAGTCGTCATACATTTGGAGCTAATTTTGAGCAACCTGGATTGGTTATAAACTAGTTGTTAATCATTCAAACAAATATTAATTTATGCCCAACCAGTTTTTTATCATTTAGACAAGTTTCCAAAAGCCATCATCCAATTTTGAATCATTTTGAACAATTTTGCGCCGTTATAAGACACCAAAATAAATATTTTTAATCAACTCATCTTCGTTGAGCTGTTTGGAGTTGATTTGAGTCATTTTGATTGACACCAAACAATTTTTCTCAATTTTTTTAAAAACATCCTCTTTAATACTTTTGACTTGTTTGTTCTTATCAAGTAATAGAAAGATTAGTTTTAGTTTAATCAAAGATATACAACAAACACTGAATAACAATTAAAACTATATCAAGAACTAGAAATATTTTTGAACTCGTCGAGGTTTTACTGTATTTGGTTTTATCTGAGAAAAACACTTGCTTTTTTCCTATGAGAACGCATACAACGTGAAGTTAGAGTCACGCGAGATCTCTTTTTGCCTTTGTTAATAAGGATAAAAATGAAAATTTTGTATACAAGTTGGAAATTCAAGTTTTAGTTGTGTAGTTGCGTCTACTTTGAAATCGCTTAATTACTTTGACACTTGGTCCTTGTCACGTGGGCCCTTCACGTTACCGTGGAAACAAAAGAAGTTGCAGTGTGGGTTGAAGTGTCGTGAGGGTGGTGAAGAGGCAGCTCGTAAGGTCGGGGGTAATTACAAGTCTTTCCAAAGTTCTCAGGTGGTCCCAGGAAATTCACCCAGGACAAGGTGTTATTAAAGATATTAAGCTTTAATTTTTTACTAGATTTGGTCTAGACGATATTTTTAGATAAATCACTTTTTTGCAATTTTTTTTTTAAGTATTTGTTCATGATTGTTTACGTGATTGTCGTTATTCATTAGTCTAATGCTTAATTAACGTAATTTATCAACATACCCATTAATTATATGGACACAGAGCCACGTAATGGCTCTTTACCCCGTTATTGATCACATAACATCCGTATTAATTGCGAGCCATTGTTAAAGATTATCTCTATATCTGGTGGTTATTGTAAATTTTGAAACAAAATTTGTGTGTCAAAATAGTTCAAAACAACTAAAAACATCTTTATATTAAACTGACTGAAAATTAGGGTTGCTCGGAATTACAGAAAACTGCACTGGTTTATAAGGTTGCAAAATTTTCCAACACGATTGAAATCTGGATAATAACTTTTGAAATGTTGTCTAAATGATTGAAAACTTTTTGGGTATCAATTAATTGTTGTTGAAATGATTCCGATAGCAGTTTCAAGTTGTTCAAAATGATTGAAAACTGTTTGATAATTATTACGAAGTTGTCTAAATGTTTGAGAATGAGTTTCTAGATATTCTACGTTGTTCAAAATTATCGATAAGTGAATTCAGAATGATCGAAAACATTAATCCGTTATATCGAGGTTTTGTTGTATATTTATAAATTTTCTTAATAAATAAATCTCTTTGTGTGTTTTCCACAAAAGAGAAAATTCTTAAATTTGACTTATCGCATTTCCGGAATGTTCTCCGCTTTGTTTATCTTATCGTGAAACCGAATTTCCCATTACCCCCGAAGAAAGGCACCTTAAAGGGACGGCCCCTATATAAATTATCGAAATCCAGTTTTCCTGCTCGCGTACCGCGAAACGAGTTCCCCGCTGTATAAACGGAATTAATTAGGGGAAATTCGTTTTTCCGGGCTACATTTTAATGTTGCGTTAAATATTTTCGTCAACTAAGATTTCCTTATTTCGCGCTAGGAATCTTATGAGGATTGATTTATTTATATCGGTGAATACCCCCCCTAGGGACCAACCCAAAGGGATGGGGAAGAACCACCCCCATCATTTTATTACACGGACGAGGAGTTGCCTCGTCCATCTTATTTGTTGGGGATTCTTTGACAGTCGTGGAAAATCCGATAAAGATTGTTTGTTGTCTTCGTAATAATGTGTACGATGTCTTGTTGAGTTTCCTTTTTAAATGATCGATTCTAAAAGAATCTTTCATAAAGATGTAAACACTCATTAAAACCTTATACGGGTGGTTGTTTACCTGTTTAACCCCGTTATAATTCAGAGGATAACGGTACAGTTATTCGAGGAATTTCAATTAAGAAGGCTTTGTACCTCGACGTTAACCCTAACTGATCTAATAAGGGCGCCACGCCCATTATAACTTGATCCTTGTATCTCCCCGTCTGAACAATTCCGCAAAAAATTCCTCCATCCGGGACAGCGCCCTTTAATATAAAGTTTCATATCGGATCGGCACGAATGAAACATCTGTTCGCGCCCTGAACCTGTAAAGCACCCAAAAAAAAACCCTGGAAAAATAACGCGAACACGAATCGGTTCGGCTCGTAAGGAGAAAGATCACGTAAAATATTGTGATTTTCAGCGGGCCTTCGTTCAGCGGCGCGCGCGCGCCAATAGAAAATAAATAATAAATGGGCGGTGGGGACTGTAAGGTTAGGGGGGCCTTTTACGGACGCAGCATGGGGCTCCGGATAACTGGAAATGCCGATACTTCGCAATCTACGGAGGGAGGAAAACCGAGCTGGCATCAAGGGGAAAAAAGGACGTTGTCGTTCGGACTCTGCTGTTGTGTTTTCCATTTATAGGGGCAGTCATTCCGTTAATTCGATTTTATGGGCGCTATTTATTCTGGTTTTATGGACCGCCGCCGCCACTCCTCGAAACTGACCGGAGATCAGAATAAAAGAGTACCGTAAAAATTCGATGAACATTTTCATCATGCTTGCTTGTCAAAAAATAACGGAATTGATGACCCTATAAAGTATTAAAGATGAATTTATCTGTTAAAAAGTTTGTTTTGTGGATAATAAAAATGGTGGAGGCGCCGGAAAATTCCATCAATTATTTTCTAAACTTCACTAAACATTGTTTTCCAGCCATTTAATATGGCCAATATGCAGCCAACTACAGACGATGTAAATATTAACAAACCTGCCACTTCCAGACCAAATCGACACCACAAAAATTTACCACAAAAGCCAGATTAAGCCGTAACTAATGTCGCACACTATAATATCCGCCATACTATCATACTTGTAACCGCTTTTGTTCTAAATACAAAGTTGCCGTAAGTTAAGCCGAGGTCGCTTACGGCCGAGGCATTACAGTGTGTTGAAAGTTACAATTAACATTATATCAATCCAAAAGTAGCCAAGATGAATCGAACAATGCTACAGATACATTATCATAAGTTGAGTCAATATCGCTTGCCTCCAAGGTATTACAATATCTGGAAAAATTGGCTAAGGAATGGCAAAGATATTGTAGCGTCTCGCCCGCAACTGACCTCGGCTTAATCACGCGCTGTTACAGATTCATTATCATAAGTTGAGCCGAGATTGCTGGCGGCTGAGGCACTACAGTTAGTTAAAAATTACAATTAATATCATTTAAGCCCAAGAATATCCAAATCAAATCAAATCGACCTCGGCTTAATCAAGCAATGTTACAAATTCATTATCATAAGTTAAGCCGAGGTTGCTTGTGGCTGAGGCACTACAGTTAATTGAAAATTACAATTAAGGGGTCATATACGCTTCTCAACTTAAAAAAATCGATTTTTTGTTTTATACATATTTTGAAAGTTACATCTTTTACGAACATTTTAAGTCTACAATTGAGTCGATATTTGAATTATTGACGAAGTTATAGCCGTTTGAACAAAACCGGTCGAATAACTCGTTATAACATGTTACTGTTAAACACCGTGCGAATTTATTTAGTTGGTGATATTTTAGCTTTAGTGCGTGTGTTTTCAATTGATTTCAATCAATTTCAATCAAAAATGCCACGACGCGTAACTGTTGACCGGAAGGGTTCGCGAGCAGATAACAGAAGACCTTCTCGGTCCGTAAAAAGAGTTCCTCCATCAAAAAAAAGAATAGACTCGGAAAAAGCTACGATGAGTGCATCGGCGAAAAAATTAATGCGGAAGTTTTGCGGACTAATGGAATTACCTAAACCTGTAGGCCAGTCAACGTACGATGCCATTATACGAAGCATTCACAGTGCTGTAAAAACTGTTGTGTTTTGATGAAAGAAGCGGTTACTGAAGAAAAAATAGCGACGAAGGAAAAAGGAACCATTGATGATGAAGCTGGAATTGCCGTTTCCGGGGATGGAACCTGGAAAAAGCGAGGCTTCTCTTCTCGTTTTGGCGTGACTATACTTATCGGAATTTTGACAGGGAAAGTTGTAGATATTCTGGTAAAATCATCTTACTGCAAAGCCTGCGAATTTTGGGAAAAAAGAACTAACACCGCTGAATATGAGGAATGGAAACAAGAACATGAGTGTTTCGCAAATCACACAGGCAGCGCAGGAAAAATGGAAGTGGAAGGAATGCAGGAAATGTTTCAACGGTCCGTAGAACTGCGTGCAGTAAAATACCTGCATTATATCGAGGATGGTGATTGTAAGACGTTTAACTGTATTCTAAAAACAAACCCCTACGATATTCCGGTTATCAAAAAAGAGTGTGTAGGTCACGTACAAAAGAGAATGGGAACTCGTCTTCGTGCACTAAAGAAAAACACGAAAGGTCTTGGAGGAAAAGGTAAACTAACGGGCAAATGTATAGACGAGTTGCAGACATACTACGGTTTAGCCATCAGGAGAAATGCGGATTCAATGGAAAAAATGAAAGCAGCTATCTGGGCGACGTTTCTTCATAAAATTTCAACAGATGAAAAACCACAACATGAAAACTGTCCTTCTGGAGAAGATTCGTGGTGCTCCTGGCAACGAGCGTATGCTACCAACACTCTTACTGGCTATAAACATAAGACTGCTCTTCCCCAGAATATCCAAGATGCAATTCGACCCATCTATGAAGATTTGAGCAGAGACGATTTGTTGTCAAGGTGTGTTGGCGGATATACGCAGAATAACAACGAAAGCCTGAACGATCTTATCTGGAAGATTGCTTCAAAAGAGACTTATTGTACTGCTGTAACTGTTGAAATAGCCGCATACATTGCAGCAGCAATCTTCAATAAAGGTCACATGAGCCTGTTAACAATGTTGCAGACATTGAATGTGTCTATAGGTAATGCAGCCTATAACATGTGTCAGGAAATCGATGCCCAACGGATTTGCACGGCTGAACTTAGGACGCTGGAAGCGACAAAAGAGAGCCGAATTCGTCGCAGACAAAATCGATTACGATTGCTGGACGGTCATACTGTAGATGAAGGTCAGCTTTATGGCGCAGGCATCGCCGATTAGTGGTAAGTAACATTTTTCTACACGTTTACTTTTGCAAAACTTTAAACGTATTTTTCTCAAAACACGACTTTTAAATACGGTGGGCACGATAACTACCTCACCATTTGTCCGATTAACTTCATCTTGTATATACGCGTTCCTCATATGATTCTTTATCGGTTGACGAGAGCTTTTTTTGAAAAGATCAACGATGTTAAATATGATCAAGAAATATAACTCCTTTTTCGATCAAAATTATAACAAGTTTTTCAAAGTACAACCCAAACGCAATTTTTTTTTTTTTTAAATCCCCTCGTTAACCGTGAAGTAGAGTCCCAAAGAACAACAAAAGCTCAAAATATTTTGTTTCAGATCAATTCTAGAAGCTGAACAACACTCACCACTTCTTCCTGCGCGAAAAAGGACGTCCTACCTCAATGCAGTTACAGACGTCATATTTTTCTGTATTTTGTTTTTTGTATGTTTCTCCATTTCTGTAAAACTTAACCTTTGTAATAGAAAAAAAAACAATTTAATTGATCTAATAATTTTCTAAGAATCCTTGGTGGTAGTTATACCATTTTTCAGAATCGATAAACGTATATGACCCCATTAATGTCATATAGGCCCAAGAATATTCAAGACATTGTAGCGCCTCGCCCGCACGCGACCTCGGCTTAATCAAACAACGTTACAAATTTATTATCATAAGTTGAGCCGAGGTGCTTGTGGCCGAGGCACTATAGTGAGTTGAAAATTGCAATTAATATTATATCAACCCAAAACATAGTAGCGCCTCGCCCGCAAACAACCTTGGTTTAATCAAGTAATGTTACAAATTCATTATCATAAGTTATTACAACGTAGGCTTATAATGTGTTGAACACTGACAGTTAATACCATATCAAGTCAAAAGTTTCAAGACATTTTTTATATTGGGAAATTAATTTCGTTTCCTACTTAGCGAATTAAGATCTTAATTGCGGAGTTTTAGTTAAGATCAATCACCGATTTGTGTAGATGGAGGGCGGTTTTAGGGATAGGAAATAATTTATCCAAAAATTTACGACGTCTGGTACAAAATTGACCGGATTCCCGTGGGGTGGCGAGGCGAACTGGGGGGCGGTTACAGGGGACAAATGTGAGGGTGTACGAAACGGTCAGTCTCGGGCGACAAATCACCCCCAACAAGCTGTACCCACCCCCGGAACCTCCAAAACCCCCGGAACGAGCCGCAGCTCGTTGGGGAGCTTTAGTATTTTTGAACCTGATAAAATATTCGTTGTTTTAAGGGTTGCTCATTAGACCTTTAAGGGTTTTATGGCCGCTGTTAAAGGCGGATTTGATCTTTTTTATTACCCCCGTCGCACCACGTGTTCCTTCTTCTTCGAACGTGTAATGGCGGAAATTTTAATTCAAATAATTAACTGCCAGCGTTCTTCCGAGTTGTTGACGTTTCACGGAAACGTTACTTTTGTTGGTTGCGTTTTCGAAAGATTCTCGATATATCACGTAAACTTAATGAATTTTCCTTAGAGGAAAGCTTCGGGAAATAGACTTTGCAACTTACGGCAGCACACTCACGGTCGTATTGTCGGGGGAGTAGTTTGCGTTCGGTTCTGTAGATAGCGCTGCTCATATTCTTAACTTACGTATTGTGTGCTTCCTTCTTTATATTTTATGTTATAATGTCGGGCGAAATTTTAATCCGGCTCCCCTTAAAATATTTTACCACGCGAAGATGCGAATTCTCGTTAGTGCTTGAAGTTAGGTAGGTATTCAAGTAAATTGTATAACCACGGTTTTCCATATTTTATCCGAAACCAACTAATTTAATTTAGTTTCTTGATGAAACTTGTCGTGGAAAAATAAAGAAAGTAAAATACGTTAAGTATCAAGGTTCGAAATGTAACTGTATAAGAGTAAAGCCACCAAGAACTAATGAATCCTTAAATAAATGAAGCGTGCCCTTCAGGGTTATGCCCAGCGGGGGGCTCCCACAATTGCGCAAACCGCAATAAACAATGGACACTCGAAGGGGGCGCTAAAGGGGAGAGCAGGGGCGGAGTCTCGTCGCCGCCTTCTTCATGTAAAAGTCATGCGAAGAGGCTGCGGGTCCTTGAAGGGAGCCGTTTCGGAGGGTTGGGATTAAGCCGGGAGGATTTCGACGCGGGGGGATGCCGTAATTGCCAGGTGGGGATAGCGGGTGATCCCCGGTAAGCCTTCCTTGGTATTAACAGTTCCGAGTTCTCTCGCCTCTTCCCAATATTCGGTTAAGGAGATTTTCGCCCTTTTTTGTAGGGAAAGGAGTACGTCTTTGACCGGGGAGTGAATTAGTACGTTATGTGGGCAGTTGCTTCAATCTGGGGATACTCGAGGGCAGTTCCGGGAAATTTAGTAGGGATATTAGGGATTGCAGGATAACATAAATTAAGGGAGATCTTATATCTTCCTCATCTACCCAGGCTTTAGACGGTGACTATGCGATTATTGGCTTCTCCTCTTCTGAGAGTTTTAAACGCAGTCTATTTTAATCTGTTTTAATATAGAGAAATTAGAACTTGTTGGGCTGGAGAGATTTAAATGGTCTAAAATGGAGAGAATAGGTTCCACCTAATGCTGTACCTATGTTAAGAGGTACTCGAGTGCAAAACGCTCGGTTTGCGCTTAAATTTCGACCCCTTGAAACCCTTCAGCCCTTTAGAATTGTCAACAAAGGCCCGGGCTTGGAAATCCTAGTTTAGTTCCTTAATTAAAATTACTTATATTACTCGAGTTGTGCCAATATAACAATACTAACGAAAACAAGACGAACCCGGGTGATTTTAATTGTAAATAGTTTCATGTTCCTCGCCTGCGGCGATTTTATGCATTTTCAGAAGATTCCTTATTTTTCTAGCCTCTGCGTCGCGCCGCAGGAACTCCGGTTAATATAGCGTAACGCAAACATCGGCAAGTTTTGCATTTGCATTTACGATACGATCCGCAGCTCGCTCTGGTGGCGCTGCTGGAGGGCAGCTCTACTTCCGACCTAATCAAATGAAATGCAAATACAAATAACGCCCGCGAACGGCTGACGAACAAATACGGAAAACGAAGTAGTCGTCGTTGTCCACTCAACCCATCTCATCTTTATCAAGAAAAAAAATAATAACTACAATAAAATAAAGGAAGGAAAAAGGTGAAACTAGAGCTAATACTAGACTTATTATGTCTAGGTTATGTTTTGGTAATCATTGGAAACGTCTCTAAATGATTGTAAACTGTTTCACTGCTATTTCAAGTTGTTCAAAATTATTAAGAACCAGTTGGTAATTTCTGTTAACTTACTTAAGTAATTGAAAATTGGTTCATAGCTTCCAAGTTGTTCAAAACTGGTTAATAATCATTGAAATCTTGTTTAAATGATTAAGAACCAGTTTATAGCCAATTCTAATTGCTTAAAATGATTGTAAAAAGCCCCCAAAAACGTTCACAATACGTTTATAACTGTGCAAAATGATTCAAAATTGGATGATAACTTTTGGAAACTTGTCTAAATGATCGAGAACTGGTTGGGTATAATTTAATAGTTGTCTAAATGATTAACAACTAGTTTATAACCAAACCGGGTTGCTCTAAATGTATAAGGACTAGTTTATTACTAAACCCGAATCTTTCTAGTTCTAGATCTAGGTAAAAGTGAGTGTGGTTTTAGGTCTTAATACTTAAGGCGATGTTAGTTATAATGAAAAGAAATAAGATGTGATAATATATTTTTTGGAAGGAACCAATTTCGTGCGGAGATTTTCTTTCGCAATTTAACACAGAATACGAAACCGTAAGACAACAAGGTTCAGTTTAAAGAACGGCTCGGAATAATGGCGAAATTTGCATACATATTTCATAAAATCCGAGCTAAACTCTCGGACGCCACTGGGTGCACATCCTGGTTCCGGATAAACGAACCGGGGGGAGGCGAAAATGGAAAATTCCATGGAAATTGTTTTTCTTTACCAGCAATAACACCGATATAAAGCGCATTTTAAAATATTTTTATTTTCATAAAGAATTAATTGCAGTGAGCTTATGCTAAAAAGCAAAACATCTTTGTTTCATCGAGAAACAAAGTGTCAAAGCGGATTAAGTTTTCAGGTAAGCAGCTCGGCCACAAAGTGCTCAAAATTCCGCTCCGGCACGATGCCGTAAATCGCACCCTCTTCCGTCCCGGTGAATTACAACCCCTCGAAGATTCCATCTTCCACTTTCTCCCCACGAAGTTCTTGGTCCTTCAGTGGAGCCCCGCGTCGCGACGCCGCCAGCGTTCAAAATAATAACTGTAAGCAGTGCCTGTCGGCTGTCTTCTTGAATCGCTCCCTGGGGAACATTCCAGGACGTAATCCTTGTAGAGAGTGGGAAGAGGCAGTAAAGTCGGATGCGTTTTACTGTGGCCCAAGAAAGGCCGTTAACGTCTGCACCCTCAACGAAAATGACGAAAACAACGTTGAAATTAATTCCGACGAATAACTTAATGAGGGCCACTTGGACAAGAATTTGCCAAAAGGACCATTACAAAATTAAGTGGTTTCAAAATGAAAATTTCGGAATAAACCACAACGAAATACAAACAACTATCTGTTTCTAGAGAACAGTGTTTAAGAATGAAAATCAAACAAGGCAAAGAATGCCCTCAAGTCTATTACCGAGGCCGTTAACTAAGCGGTGCTATTTATACCCCGAAAACAAATCACCTTTCCGAACGGAAAACACGGCCACATTTAGACGACAACTAATGTGACGCACTTCTTCAGCTAAACACCACTTAAATTAACCAAGGGGGGCAGTTAATCTAGCGCGAAAAAAACCGCACACTTAAACGGTCGTTTAATTTTACTGTTACGGAAAAAACGGTCGCCATCTGAGCGAAGGAGACAGTTCGGGCGCAGATGTTGTTTCGTTCCCGAGAAAAGATAACAAAGAAAAAGGAAAAACTAAATTCGTGCCCTTGGTACTGACGTGTACTCAACAAGATTGGCTGTTTATTGGTTTTGTACCCGTCCCTGAGGCGAAGTTCGCCGAACGACGCAATCTAGTTTAAATTACGATAAGTAGCGGTTTTTCCTTCGTTTAAGATAACTTCTTTACCACCTCATAAACAACCATAAAAATTACCTAAATTAATTAATCAAAATTTAATTTAAATCCTTTTTTTTTCGATTCGATTCAAACGAAGAAAATTGAAAAACTTTATTTCCCCAAACTGGTGCTAAAACGGTTATACATCAACGTGAAAGTGATGCATCGAAATGCAAAGGGGGTGCTGCGCTCGTCGGCGCCATTTCACCCCCGCACCCCAAGGGACCGGAGACAATCGAACGTCGACGGTCAGGTAAACGCCCCAGATTCGTATCAGGGAAA